ACACACACATGCTCACCCAGCCTCCCTCCTCTGCTCTGGTCCGGGACATGACCTCAGACTGCTGCTGGAACTTCCAGCAGAGCCTCATGCTCTGCCTGCAGGGCACCTGTGCAGCCTGCTTTCCCCTTCCTCCTACAGGTTCAGCTTTCAGGAGTACATCAAGATTGACCAGCCTGAGAAGCAGGGGCCAGAGCAGCCAGGTACAGAGTGAGAGCTGGGGCTTCCAGGTCAGGCTGGGAGGGGTGACCATGGTCTATTTCTAAGAGAAGTTCAGACTATGCTAGCCCCGCACCTGAGGAGCTTAAAATTCAAACGAGTCCAGCCAACATGGCTCAGTGGTTGAGCATTGACCTATGAACCAGGAGTTCACAGTTCAATTCCCAGTCAGGGTACATGCTCGGCTTGTGGGCTTGATCCCCAGTGGGGGCGTGCGGGAGGTAGCTGATCAGTGATTCTCTATTTCTCTCCCTTTCCCTTCTCTCTGAAATCAATAAAAAAATATTTTTAAAAAATCCAAACCACATGGCCATTCCTTCCACACCCAAGGGTGCAGAGCAGTACTCCCAGCTTTTCTATATCAAGGCACATGTTCTACAAGAACATGACTGTTGGTGACAGCAGGCTGGGTCAGCTGGAGGTTCCGAGCCCTGGAGATCACTTGGGCTGCCCCAGGGTGCGCTGTCCCTAGCACGTCATTTGAGAAGTTCTACAGAGAAGCACTGTCTTCCTGTGGCCTTTCTTCTTGAGGCGCTAGGGCCTGGGTTGGGCCGTTTGTTGGAATCCTCCATGTGCCAGGCACCTGCTAGGCACTTTGTGTATTTATATCACTCTGTCTTCACAAAAACCTGTGGAAGGTGGATCATTATTCCCTTTATGCAAATGGAGAAACTGGGGTTACTGAGGGTGAGTGACTCACCCCAGGTCACACAGTAAGTGGCAGAGCCCAGATGCCATCCCTGTCTGAAACCCCTTGAAGTATCACACATAATCACCAGGTATTTGTATGTCTTGGGAAAAGCTTGCAAACTCTGACGTGAGGAATGGTTGTTATTAATGACAGGTTTTGAAGAAGGCCTTCTAGAAGAGTCCCAGTATGGAGAGGCAGCAGAGGAGACCCCTGCTTCCACTGAGCCAGAGGGAAAACACGTGCCTACCTCTACCCCTGGGCAGGATGTCACTGACTACCACCTCCGGAGCCTGCGGAAACTCCTGGCCCAGCCCCGGGAGGGGCTGCCTGCCCCCCTTTCCAAGCAGAACTCTATAACTCCCTTCCCAGTGAAGACCAGCAATATCCCAGTCCAGCAAGCAGAGAAGATGGAGAGAAAACCCAGACCTGAGCCCAGCCAAAATCCACCTCATTCTGACAAGTGGCCTGGGCACCGGATGGGGAACCTACCTCAAGTCACAAGGCCCAGGCCCACTGGTGATAGCCCCAGGAAGACTCTAGGGCAGTCCCAGTGGCTTAATCAAGTTGAGTCATACATTGCAGAGCAGAAGAGGGGTGACAGGATGGAGCCTCTGGCCCCGAGGAGGGGTTGGCCTGGGGAGGAGAAGGTGGTAGCAGCTGCAGGCCAGGAAGGGCAAGTGGAGGGAGAGGAAGAGGGTGAAGAAGAAGAAGAGGAAGAGGATGTGAGTGAGGTGTTTGAATACGTGCCCATGTTTGACCCAGTGGTAAACTGGGACCAGACTTTCAGTGCACAGAACCTTGACTTCCAAGCCCTGCGGACTGACTGGATTGATCTGAGCTGTAACACATCTGGCAACCTGCTGCTTCCGGAGCAGGAGGCTCTCGAGATCACACGGGTCTTCATAAAGAAGCTCAACCAGAGGAGCCGGGGGTAAGGTAAAGGGCTCTCCTGGGGCCGGGGCTGAGGCATGCTGGCCCAGGGGGCAGGGACTTGGGGGCTGTAGTGGGTTCCCTTGTTGCAGACTCCTGGAAAGGACAAGTGCCTGGAGCCCCTGCCCCTGGAGGTGACCTGGACCAGTCAGGTCTTCGTCCCACCATCAAGCAAGGTTCTGAAATGCCTTGGCTCCCAGTCTAAAAGCACAGGGAAGACCTGGCAAATGTGGTCCCCTCTCTCAGGGAAGAAGCTAGTAAAAAGACAGATCAGGCAAAACGGAAGCTAAAAGAGACTAATAGGAACAAACCCCAGATGTGGGCTCGAAGGGCTAGAATGGCCGAGCTCTTTGTTGTTTCATTCATTTAACCAATCAACATTTTTTTCAATTAAGATAAAATTCCCACACCATTTAAGAGTATATGATTCCGTGGGTTTTAAGTATATTCATATATTGTGTGACCATCACCATTTTCTGATTCCAGAGCATTTCTATCACTTTTAAAAAATGTTTTTATTGATTTTAAAGAGAGAGGAAGGGAGAGGGATAGAGAGATAGAAACATTGATGAAAGAGAAACATCCATCGGCTGCCTCCTGCACACCCCCTCCTGGGGGTTGAGCCTGCAATCCCGGCATGTGCCCTGACTGGGAATCGAACTGGTAACCTCTTGGGTCGCCGCTCAACTACTGAGCCACACCAGTTGGGCCATTTCTATCACTTTTTAAAGGAACCCTGTAGCTAATAGTGGTTAATTCCCATTCCTCCCTCCTCCCAGTCTCTACGTTCTATCACTATAGATTTACCTATTTAGACATTTCACATAAATGCAATTATATAATATGTGGCCTTTCGTGTCTGTCTTCTTAGACTTAGCAAAATGCTTTCAAGGCTCATCCATGTAAAATGTATTGCCTATTTCCATCCTTTATATTGCTGTATAATATTCCTTAGTAGGAATATACCACATAATGTGTATCCATTCATCACTTAATTGACATTTAGGTGTTTCCACTTTTTGGCTATTATGAATACCAGGCTACTCGGAACATTCGTGTACTAAGTTTTTGTGTCATCATGTTTTCAGTTCTCTTGGGTATACACCTAGGAGTAGAATTGCTGGGCCATATGGTAACTCTATGTTTAATATTTTGGGGACCTGCGAATCTCTTTTCCAAATCAGCTACACCATTTTACATTCCCATCAGCAGTGTATGAAGGTTCCAATTTCTCTACATCCTTTGCCAACACTTGTTATTTTCCTTTTTTAAATAACCATTCTAATGGGTGTGAAATGGTATCTCACATTGTCGGTTTTTTTTTTTTTTTAATATTTTTTATTGACCCTCCACAGAGAAGAAGGGAGAGGGATAGAGAGTTAGAAACATCGATGAGAGACATCGATCAGCTGCCTCCTCACCCCGCACGGGAGAGGGATAGAGAGTTAGAAACATCGATGAGAGACATCGATCAGCTGCCTCCTGCACACCCCGCACTGGGGATGTGCCCGCAACCAGGGCACATGCCCTTGACCGGAATCGAACCCGGGACCCTTGAGTCCGCAGGCCGACGTTCTATCCACTGAGCCAAACCGGTTCGGCCACATTGTCGTTTTGATTTACATTTCCCTAGTGACTAATGATGTTGAGCCAACTAATGAACATTTACCTAATTATGTATTATGTACTGTTGTTTGAACAGAGTATTTTATTAATTAAAGTCAACTTCTGAAGGAAACTCATTCACCTTATATACAATCTCAGAGCTATAAAAGAGTTTAGAGATCATCACAACTCAATAGGTGCATTTTTAAAGATGGAGGCACAAAACACAGACAAAGCAACCAAAAACAAGGTGGAGGCAGGGAATACTAGAGAGGTTAAAAGCATCTTGCATAAGCAACTTAGCCAATGGCAAAGCGAGGACAAATACCCGAGTTTCTTGACAATTGGCCTCGCAGGCTTCTACCACACCACGCTGCCCCACAGTGGGGGAAAGAATTACTCAAGCCCCCACCCTTTTGCCATAGGAGATACCAGCTGCGGCGCATTGTGAATGTGGAGAAGCGGCAAGACCAGCTACGTGGGGGTCGCTACCTCCTGGAGCTTGAGCTGCTGGAGCAAGGCCAGCGCCTGGTGCGGCTCTCTGAGTATGTGTCTGCGCGAGGCTGGCAGGGCATCGATCCAGCTGGTGGGGAAGAGGCCGAGGCCCGGAACCTGCAGGGCCTGGTGTGGGGCCCACACAACCGCCAGAGACGTGTCTTGAATGTCCGGGCCCCAGAGCCCAAGCTGTGCTGGCCCCAGGGCTTCTCCTGGAATCACCGAGCAGTGGTCCACTTCATCGTGCCTGGTGAGCCTCCAGCCGAGCCTGGGCACTGTCAGCGGAGCAGGGACACTAATAGTAATCCTGAGCACCAGGTCTCTGCTCACTGACATCTTCCGGGAGCTTGTGAAAATGGCCACTTTACAGTCACGGAACTGAGGCTCACAAGAGAAAAGTCACTAGTCTAAGTGTACATGTCTAGAAAGCTCGAGCTGAGAGTACATACTGACTTGAGGCCATCACTCTTTCTGTGGTACCAGTTTCAAGGTTGGGTGTGATAATCAACTGGGGTTGTACTGGGGTTTACAGTTGATCTGGGGAGATAGGACAGAGAGGGTACCTAATAGAATGGGTTAGCTGATCATGACAAAGGGGACTGTGTAACAGATAGGAGTATAACAGTGGGGTGAGACAGGAAATAAGGATGATAAATAAGACAGACAGATTACAGGTTTTAAGTGTTAGAGCATGAGGGATAAATATAAGAGACTGATGGCAAGTCCTGGCCGAAGGTTTTCTCAGAGGCCCTGCCGGGGAGGCTGTGCAGGGTGGAGAGGCCCCTCCATAGTGAGCTCGCCTCTGTGTCTGTACGGCATTGCTCCTGGTTGCCCATAGCTGCGTCGCCCCTGAGCAGAGGTCTGATGAGACTCTGTCCTGCAGGACCCAGGAGTGGGCATGCCTTCTTTGTGTTACCTCTGCTTCTTTCTCTCTGCCTGCCCCACTTGGGTAGTGAAGAACCAGGCGCGCTGGGTGCAGCAGTTCATCAGAGACATGGAAAAGCTGTTCCAGGCCACCGGCGACTCACACTTCAACATCATCATCACTGACTATAGCAGTGAGGACATGGATGTCGAGATGGCCCTGAAAAGGTCCAAGCTGCAGAGGTGAGGAGGTTTCCTGGCTGGCGTGCAGCCTGAACCCTCTTCCCAAAATCAGCACTGCTGGGCCCGGGGCAGAGCCACAGGTCTCATCCAGCTTTGCTGACCCTAGTCTCTGCCATAATCCCATTCCAGGAGCACATCATCTCTCCTCTATGCCTGCAAAGTTCCTTCAGGGGACTGCCACGGCCTAGTCCTAATGCTCAGCCCCTCTCTTCTTTCTTCCCCTGCAGCTACCAGTACATGAAACTAAGTGGAAACTTCGAGCGCTCAGCTGGACTTCAGGCTGGCATAGACCTGGTGAAGGTAAATGGACTGGGAGGGGCTTGGGAGATGAGATTAAGGGTTGGTTAAGAGGTAGAGAGACATTTGGGATGTGTAAGGAGGTCAGTTCCTCTGGGAGGAAGGAATGAGGACACGGGGTCCTCTGTTGTGCTGCCAGGTGGAGCATTTTTCCAGAGTCCTTAAGTCCATAAAGAGTGGGGGAGGAGTCAGGATTTACTCTCTGATTGTAAGAACTGTGCTCTGATGCCCAGTACCGTGGAAATCTGCCCAATTGTTTAGTGGAGGTTTGTCAATCATGCAAATGGGAAGAGCCAGAGGATTGTCCTAGAGAGTGGCTTGGCCTTGTAGCCCTGGTCGGAGGGTCTGCTGATCCTCCCACATCTGTCCCCAGGACCCGCACAGCATCATCTTCCTCTGTGATCTCCACATCCACTTCCCAGCTGGCATCATTGATACCATCCGGAAGCACTGTGTGGAGGGCAAGATGGCCTTCGCCCCCATGGTGATGAGACTTCATTGCGGGGCCACTCCCCAGTGGCCTGAGGGTGAGCCCTGCCCTGGTCTAGGGAGGGTAGGAAAGACCTCCTGGCCTTGGTTTTTAACCCCAGAGCTGGAAACAGTCCTGTCTAACACAGCAGCAGCACCCTCCCCTCCTGCCCTTCTGCTGCTCTGCTCACCTGGACAGTCCAGAGATGTGCCCCAAGGCTGTGCTGCCAGCCACAGCAGCAGCAGCAATGATGAACATGGCCCTCCCCATCTCCCCCTTTACTCATTCATCACATGTTCATTAAGCATTTACTACGTGCCGGACTTGGCCGTGTGAGGATACAAAGATGGAAAGACAGGCCCCTCCTCTGGAGAGGGAAATGGCCAAGGAAACCGACACGCGCTATTGTTAGTAGCTACCATTGTGAGACCCTAATGTAAGACTGTCACCAGAACTCGGTCACTCCCTGGTAGGACTGCTGCTTTCACTGGACCCTGCACCTTAGCTCAGGGGCTTCCCCCACAGAACAGTCAAGGGACTTGCCCAGGTCAGACAGTTTTCAACCACAGGCACGCCATTGTCCATCTTGCAGAGGAGGCTCTAGGGATGCCACCTGGAGGCCTTCTTTACTCCCTCCTCCTGGCCCCTGGCTCACCTCACCTGGAGCTTCTTGTCTGTCCGCAGGCTACTGGGAAGTGAATGGATTTGGACTGCTTGGCATCTACAAGTCAGACCTAGACAGGATCGGAGGCATGAACACCAAGGAGTTCCGAGACCGCTGGGGTGGGGAAGACTGGGAGCTGCTGGACAGGTGACTGGGAGAGAGGGGCATCTGAGGGCTCTGCTCTGGGGAGGGAGTGGGGCAAGACCATCCTAGACCCGGCCACCTAGGCTGCAGGTTCCCCACAAGCAGGCGAAGGCATCGGACTTGGAGGAAGTTCTACCACTTACTGGGCTCCAGTTACTTCTCTTGCGGAGACTCAGTTTCTCTGTCTATAAAGGGGAGGATACTGCCTTTGTCTCTGTCACAGGGCTGGCATGGAAAGTGCTTGATGAACGGTCATGAGGTTAGCAAAAACTGACCTGTACAAATGTAAACGATAATTATCTGAGCAGCAAGCAAGTCACAGTGGGAGCACATGCTGCATCTCCAGGTCGGCACTCCCCTCCGACCCCCACCCCCGCAGCGGCCTGGGGAGGAGGATGAAGTGGTGGGGTGGATAAGAGAGACAGGCCAAAGGGTCAGGAAAGACTTCTGAGCCAGCAAAAGAGGTCGTGTGGACCATTAAAGGTCAACAAGCCATCCATGAGGTCTGGGTCCCTGGAAGCCTGGGGAGAAGGGAGTTTCAGGGAGGAGGAAACAGTCATGGGTATGGAAAACCTCAGAGAAGGACACGGCCAGGGGCTGGCTGGGCCGGGCCCCCAGGTCACAGGGGTTACAGAACTTGTGGGTGTGAGGAAGTGGAGGCTGCGTTAGGATGAGATTCCTCTTTCAGGAAATTTGCTGCCAACAGAAGGGGAGGGAAAGAGGATGATACTTGGAGAGTTGAGCTTAAGGGGTGGGGGCAAAGGAGAGAGGGGCTAAAAATCCAAGTAAGAAAGGGTGTCATTGTAGGAACAGTGTCCAGGAAGGGGGGACAGGGCAAGGTCAGGAGCACTGGGCAGTGAGACTTGACAAGGAAGAGATACACTGCTTCCTGAGGGCAAAATGCAGCCACCAGTCAGTGGGTGTCTGCCTATACTGGTAGGTGATTCACATCCATTTCTTCATTCAGTCCTCCCCAAACCTCTGTGAGGTAGGTGTAATTATCTCCATTTTTCCAGATGAGAAAACTGAGTCTTAATAACTTGCCCCAAATCTTGCAACTAGTAAGTGTCAGAGGCATAAATGCTGCATGTGTTTATGCCTTTTCCCTAGAGGGAAGAAAGGAAAGGAAGATAATAATACTAAGAGAGTTTAAAGTGCAAAGGAGGAAGGTTGAGGGAGCTTCTATGAGATAGCCCCGGTCTCATAAAGCCAGATCCAGGTAGATCCCAAAGTGGACAGAAGCCTGGACTAGTGGCCACCTCCACCTGTGGTCTTCCTGCGCAGCCAGGAAGATGCAGACCCCCGTTCAGTTCTCAACCCTCCTTCCTCTACTGAAGCCCAAGGAGAAAGAAACTGCTTCAGATTCCAGTAACTTGCGCCCATGCCCAAAGTACAGGTCTCTCTGAGAGAGGGACTCCCCGTGGGCTGTGCATGTAGGAAGAGGACAGGGGAGGGCTAGGATGAGGTCTGCTCCAGCCTCTGTCTCCGTCAAACACAATGATGTGTCTCCTGCTGGCTGAGTGCCAGGCACTGTGCTGAGCACCTCTGTCTACCATCTCTCGTCTACCACCACCCTCGAGTGCCTGTATATCATTATCCTCTTTCTAGATTAGTGAACTGAGGCTCTGAGAGATGATGTGACTTATATGGTGTGGAGCTGGGATTCAAACTCAGGCTGTCTGGCTCCAAAGCCCACACTCTGCACCACACCCCGCTCCTGCCTGTGGGGAACAAACAGGAAGACAGGGATGGGGCTGTTGTAGATGTGGCGCCTTGTTGCCTCCTGTGCTCTGTGGCTCATCCTGCCCCTCTCTCACTCAGGATCCTCCAAGCAGGCCTGGAAGTGGACCGTCTCTCCCTCAGGAACTTCTTCCATCACTTCCATTCCAAGCGAGGCATGTGGAATCGCCGCCAGATGAAGATGCCGTAATCCCAAGGGGTGGCCCACTGGACCGACCACTTCCTGCCCCTTGACTCGCGGCTGCTCCCCAGCACCCTGTGGACTGCTGGGGGAAGTGAGGTGGGGAGCAGAAGTCATGGCTGGGCCCCCAAGGCCTCAGCATAACACCCCCGCTCCACTGGGAGCTGTCCCCTTGCAGACAGCTATCGAGGCCCCTCTCTCCATCCTCTGGGCCTGCAGACGGAAGACGGAAGACTTTGTGAAGGGCAGCTTGAGGGGCTGCTCGCTCACAGTCACAGAGGCTGTGCAGTTAGGTCAGGGAGGGGAAGACCTGCTTGAGTGACATCATCCTACATCTTTGAGGTGCGTGCCAGCATCCACCCTGCGCTCCTCACAGGAACAGCGACCAGGAACTGGAAGCTCTTCTATTGGACATATTTTATTGGGGTTTCTTTCTTTCTTTTTTTTTTTTAATCAGAAAAGCAAACCTTAATTGTCCAAGACCCAGCATTGACTCCAAAAGGGGGATGGAGTGGTGCCTTTAGAGAGTGTCCCCACTTGCATACCTCAGACCCACTCCCGTGTAGAGCTGTGTCCCTTGGTCTGTGATCGGCAGCTGATTTATAACCAGAGGAGCTGGCCCCACGAGGAGCACATCCTCTGCTCTACCCCCGGCCGTGCCTTGCAGAGACACGCACATCTCTCCCAGGTGGTCACCAAACTGCTGGCCACCAATTAGGGCATTAACCTTACCCTCCAGGCAGCGCTGACTTCAGGCCCATCAGAAGCACAGAACTGGCATCCTCTTCCTGGTGCCACAGGGGTTGGGAGATGAGGAAGTGGTGGGCAGTGGGCTCACCCTGGTGTTGGGCATGTAGGCCAAGCAGGACAGGCAAGATGGAGGAGGCAGAGGGGAAAGAGGATGTGGGTGTACTAAGTAAACCATGACGTAGATGAGAGGAGGGGCCGGAGTCAGCGGGAAGGGATGAAAAGGGAAGTGGGAAGCTTTGAGTCCTCGCAGCCCAGCTCCCCGGACTTGCCGTCCTGCAGGGAGAGCCCCAGCCGTGGCCTTGAGTGGAAGAAGAGGAAGGGGTGTGGGTGGAAGGGAACCATATAATGGGCCAGGGTAGGAGGCAGCAGGGTGGCAGGTCTGGGGAGGTGAGGACGTGGTTCTGAGTTCTGTTCCCCAAGTGGAAGGGAGTAGGACTAGGAGGAACTGAAAAGTGAAGCAAGTTCAGGGAAAACAGCCCTCGGCCTTTATAGTCGAGGCCACCCTTTCTGTCACCTGATGATCACACACTTACCTTGCACTAATGATCCCCAGGTGCCTTTGTGGTGGGGATTTCTCTGCTGCTGCCGCCTCTGCCACTGCTGCTGAATTCACCGCTAGTGCAGTGGACACTGGATCCTGAGCTCTGCGGCTGCCTGGGAGGCCAGCACAGGGCTCCCTGCTGTGAGCAAGGGCTGATGGTGGTGTGGCAGGCCCAGGCAGCTGGCCCAAGCCCCCTGCTGGGACAGTCAGTCCCAGGCACAGCATTTGGAGGGTCTGCTTAGTGGGCCCTGTATTCACCAAGAGCATAAACTTTGCATAGGGGAGATTGGAGCCTGTTGAGAACCCTCGGGCTTGAAGAGAATCCTTGCCTCCATCTTAAGAAATCAGGAAGCACAGGGCTTTTCAGTGACTCGGTGGCTTTTGGATGCCCATACCTGCCCTTGGGCTATGGCTCTTTAGGGTCCCTGCTCCCGCTCACTGCCTTTGGGCAAGGTCTGTAGGGAGTAGGCAGAGCTACAGATGGCCAGCTGTGGTGCTAGGTTTCTTTCTGGGGCCACTCTCATCGTTGGGCATTCACTGGGAGGCCTGAGCCAGTCCAAACAGCCCTCCTGCTTCTCTTCTCCTGGTAACAGGGCCAGCCCAGCCTCCCCTGCCCTGCCCACCACCCCCTTGCTCCTGGCCAGTGCCTTGTGTTTGTTACCTCCACACCATCTGCCTTAAGGGGGAGGACCTGGCAAGGGCTCCTACTCTGTAGGGAAATGTCTAGGGTGGGGGAGGGACTGGGATGGTGGGGGGAAAGCATTAAATACTGCATCTTCTTAGAAAACAGAATGGCTCTTGCATTTTCTTGTTGCCCATCCTGGTGGGAGAGAGTTGGGCTGAGGGCCCCATGGTTCATGTCTCTGTCCTTTGGCCATCCAGCCTCTGAAGGACGTGCCAAGGACCCTTCCACGCCACCCTCCACCCATTACCATTAGTTTGATGCCTGCTGTGTGGCAGACAGCCTGCTCTGTGCTGTGGTTTGCTCCTGGAGGGGACAACATTGGTCCTGTGTGAGGAGCTCACAGTCTGATAGACGAGGCATTTCTGTTTGGCAGGTTAATGGAGCTTGGTGGTTTCAGAGGAGCGAGGCTGGTGGACACCCCAGGTGAATAAGGCTAGAAAGAGGGCCAGAATGGTTTTGGGGAATAGTGGAGAGGAGCTGAGGTGTGGCTTATTCTAAAATAGCAGACAATTTAAAAATACTTTCTGCTTGAGCTGGGGATGCCCTGTTGATGCTTTACAGGTGCAGACTGACCTCCCTAGTTATATTTGGCGTAGGCATAAATCAAAGTTCATATTTCTCAAACACATGCCTAAGACAAGGTGCTAACATGAAAGCTAGAACAGGTTTAAAGGAGGTTTCGAAAGGAGTGTGCGTACATGCGTCAATCTAGAATTGACTAATCGGCCATTGGTGTAGCTGATGGTAATTGGCCCAAGGCATGTGGGGCCTGGAAAGTTGACTCAGAGCACAATCCGGAGGAGAGGGAGTGATTTAAAAGCCTTTTCTCATTCCAGGCTTGGAGTTTGATCCTTTGAGCCCTTTCCAGGACACAGATGGAGATGGCAGCTCAGATGCAGCTAAAAGCATAAAGGTTGACTTCAGTGGATTTGCAGAAACTTTTATAGATAGAAATCATTCCATTTTACCTGGGAAAATAGGCCTGGGAATGGATGGGACAGAGGGGAGGAATGGAGTAAGTCAGAACCAGAGTCCTTAAGCTGGTGGAGTCAGCCTTGGGTCGACATGCCTCAGGTGCGGGTGCCACCAGGAGCAAAGGTTGGCACTATCCCACGCTGAGCTCAGGCCTGTGGACCAAGATGAAATTCACTTGGACCAGTAAACTATCCCATCTTCACTCAGGTGCTGTGGTAGGAAGCAGGCATCTACATTGCTCTTTCAGGAGCTCCCAGGGGAAGTGCTCATCAGCCTGGCAGATCAGGGAAGAAAGGCAGAAGCAGCTCCAGATCCAGTACCTGTGGGGAAGCCGAGAACAGGTGGTGAGGCAGAGTGCCCTTGATTCCCCTGCAGCCTTCAAAGATGCAGATGCTGACTCAGTAGAGCGGGAGTGGGCCTGAGATTCTACATTTCCAGCAAGCTTCCAGTGCTTTCGTTGCGGTTGGTTCATGGACCACAGTTTGAGTAGCCAGGACTGCTGGACAATGCCAAGGGGGAAATCCCACATCTCCATCTTGCCTCTTGCCGGAGGGGCAGAGCCAACCACTATCCACATTGCCTCCCACCCATCTCAGGAGATGGAAAAACCCGAGCCTAAACTAGAGAAGAATCATTAACAGCACTGGGGGCCTTTCTGAGTCCCCATCCAAGCTCTTCTCCAGGATTCCCTCCTTGTCCCAGATCTACTTTCTCCTTTTGCGTGGCAAGGATTTCTCTCTTACCCTAAACCCCCAGAGGTGAGGAAAGGGCTGCCTGGGGGAGCCATTGGGCCTGAGGACCTCCCAGCTTCCCTCACCTGGGTTCCAAGCTGAATTCAGAGAAGATTCCTTGAGGTCCTGGCAGCCAGGAACCCTGTCTTATGTGCCCCGAAAGCTGTAATGAAGACATTGATGACAACAGTGATGAAGACCAAGATGGTGGCAGCATTGTTGAGCTGGTTTAATTGCCACTGCTTTTCCACCTCATTCAGGTTCAGCCGTGCTGTGGAGAAGTGGAGAGTGAGAGGTAAAAGTCAGGGTGGGGGCTACAGTCTGAAGCTTCCCTCACAAAACCCACTAGAGTTCAGAGAAAGTCTGGCAGCTCAGAGATCCATGTGGCAGAAGTCAAGGGAGGTGGTGTCATTGCATTGGACACCTCTTCCCTCACTGACCAGTGTGGGGGCATCCATGTGGTGCTTCATAGAATCGGGGTTTGGGAACTTACACCAGATCTTCTGAGTGGGGTGCATGCTCACACAGGTGATATGGGACTCTGCTACAAGTTAGTGAGGGCGTCACTCAGCAGTGTTGTGGAGTGGCCTCTGTATGGAACACCAAGAGGTAGGGCAGGGTGCCTCTCATCACTCTGTGGGTGTCACTTGGGCATTTGTAGGTGCAGAGGGCTTAAACCAGGTTCGTGTATGGCTGAGAAGTAGGCACGTACAAAGCAGGGTGGTACAGGGAAGACACTTGGGGCTCATCTTCCCACTAGGGGGCACTGGGGCCAACTCCAGGCCTGGGCTCACCAATGACCACGAGGAGGATTCCGATGACGACCTGCAGGAGCAGAGAGATGCTGATGAGAGTGATGAGGGTAGCATAGTATTGAGAGGACGGCCCCTGCTCCAGCACCGTTTTCAGCCGCATGGCATTGGACATGAAGAGAGCCACGTCCAGCATGCTCTCTGCCACGCTCTTCTTGGTGGCATAATGGTTCAGGTTGATGGGCTGGCTCCTCCCGGGGTTGGGGTTCTCAGGCTGTAAGGGAGAAAGCACAGGTTTACCTGGGAGGCTCTAGAAGGGAAAGAAGAGAGAGTTACTAAAACTCAGTCCTAACCAGGTGAGGGCAGGTAACACCCTGCTGAGTTTTATGGCCTGAAAGAAATCATGTTATGTTGTAATTTATATTTCACAGTGGGTAGGGTCGCCCTTCCGTCACACCTTCACACATTCATCTGAAGGACGCCAGGAGGAGTCTCAGCTGCTCCTAAAATGTGCCTTTCTCATTTTATGCTGTTTTACTTGGGCCAGGCCAGGCCCAGGGCCACTCTGTTTTCCTCTGAGAGCAACACCTCTCGGAAGACAATAGCAGGAGGCTTGGGTGCAATAGGAAAGGCACCTCTTCTCCCAGGGTGCTGTGGCCCCAAGGCGGGTGCACAGCTGAGCAAAAGGATCCTGAGCTGAGTTCCGATCCCACTCAGCCCTCGGCACTGGGCCACAGCTGTGCTCAGGCACTCTCGCTGGCTGTCAAACACAGGCCCAAATCAAAACACACCTGTATGTGTGCGTGCATGTATGCTAAAAGCCCTTTGTTTTTTACATTTGATTTGATTTTGAAATATAAAATAAAGCTCTTATCCTCAAGAAGTCACGAACGCCAAAAGATGGAGTTACAATGCAGGCAGGTGGGCTGGACGTCTGGGCCGAGCCAGGAAATCCAGGCTGGGTGCTGCGGGCACGCTGCCGTCACTCGGGAGAACTTGGGGGCATGCTAGGGAGACTTATTTAGGAGTGGTGCTTGGGATGATTGGCCCAGTAGGGCCCAGAAGCAGGAGACCTGTTGAAAGGTATGGTATTGATTTAGGGTCAGGGTGACAAGGAACCGAACCTGAGTGGTGGTGAGAAGGAGAGCAAGGAAGGACTCTGAGAGATGTTACAGCCCGGGGCAGGGAGCTACCTCAGCAGATGACCGCAGCAGGATAGCTGTTGAGTGGGTGGGTGGGTGGATGGGTAGATGGAGGGGGTATCCAAGGGTTCTGGATGCTCCTGGATGCTGGACTTGTTCGGTTAGTGCCGGGGTGCCAAGGCCAATAGCCCACAATAACACCACAGCTAAAACCTGTGGTCCTAGCCCATTTGGCAATGGTTCATTCTGGGTTCAAAGGACATATTAGGTGAGAGTCTGTGGAGCAGCCCAGCCCTCTCCACAATTCAAAGTGCTTCTGCCCGAAGGCCGCTTCCTCCCTTGGCTATGCCCACTCCCCCCACACCCCCACCCCGTCCCACCATTCAGTTTGCCCAGTAGCTACAGGCTTTGCACTTGTTCCTTCTTCCAAACCTAGCTCTCGGTTCAAGATCTGATAAACTGTGAAATTACTGTGAAAGCTTCAAGGGAGAAGCCCCTTCTCTGAAATGTATATGAAAGTGGACAAAACCTTAAATTCAAATAGTGTGTGAGGGGGTGGGTACTTGGGTACACAGATGTCCCCAGGCCTCAACAAAAAATATTGCCATTTGTAAGTTTTATGAGAACTTCTAGGCTTTTGTTATTAAGTTGATCGTAGAGCCTCATCCTTTCCGCTCTAATTTAGGGCCTGCTTTTATTTTTATTTGTGCCAGTTCAGGATTGCTCCATAACTGAGGATGCGTCTCAGCTATGGTGGTGGGAGGCTCTGCAGTGTGCCGCCCGCCCTAGCTCCTGAAGGCACCAGTTCTCCATAATGTCCACATGGTGTCGCGCTGCCTCCAAAGAAGTGACTTGGGCACCCAGGCTGCCCTGGTGGCGGGTGGTGTTTCTCCTCCTGAGGACTCCACTGACAGCCAGGCTCCTGTGAAACCTAGATTTCCTGGAGGCCCAAGACAGGGAGCCTGGTTCACAAGTCTGGATAGGCCAACCTAAAGCCCATCAAATGGGTGTCCAATGAAAATTCAAGGATAAACCAGTACTGAGATGGGGCCAGGACTGGGTGGGGAACCAGCACTACCTGCCTTGGGACTGTGAGACCCTGGAAAAAGTTGCTTTGAAAGGGAGGGAAACAGTTTTCTTCATCCTTCTTGGTCAGTTTAGGTGCAGTCCTGCCCTGAGGCAGAGGGCTTACTGAAATGACCTGAGGGTCTTCTTTTATAGCCTGAGAATTCGATTAGCTGAACCCCCAAATCCCACAAGGTGCCACCCTTTTTACCCACTGCCCAGAAATTAGGAGCAACCCAACAAGGATTCAGGAGAGGACGGTAAGGGTGTCAGGCCTGGTGATGGGCAGGGTGGCCCCCTCTCCTGCTTCTAGGAGCTGGCCCTTTAAGGCTTAGGCCCAGGCAGCCTGAACAAAGGCCCGGGAATGTGGGCTGGGCCAGCTAGTGGAGCCACCCAGACTGAGTCATTGGTATTTCACGGGACTAGGAATCGCTGCC